TCTCGCGAACTTCCAAACGTGGAGTCGATCGATTTGTCCAGCGAACGGCTCGCGCATCGATTTATCGTTGAGAATTTCTTGTTGGCCAAGAATCATGCAAATACTTGTTCCCGAACGGACAAGAAGCGCCGAGAATTCCGTGAAATCCGTTGCGATCTAGACACCGTCGACCGTAGGTTGGGCCGAACTCAACTGGCTAGGCTCTTTCTCCCGCTTTCTCTATCTCTCCGTCACTGCATGCCGCGTGAAAACGTTCCTTACCGCTGCGCAGACGTCCCATAGAGTGACGAGGGTCGCAAGACCGCCGGTTTGGGATTCGAATAACGAAGCACCGACGAGCGAACACCGCCTGACACTCATCGACTAATCGTACGGGTTTTCTGTTTGATTGTTTGCAGCTGCCGGCGAACGCTGACGGAACCGACGGGACGGAGATCGGCCACAGGAATCGGCGAGACAACATAAAGCTATTGTCGTTTTAGGTGAACACGAACGACAAGAGCCGACGGAACGGAATTCCGCGGGCGTTACCGGGCTCGACCGGTTCCGCTCGGGACTTGGATGAATTTTCGAGACGAGCAGTGTGTTGTGAACGGGTGCGAGAGGGGATGCTTCGTCCGATTGGAATTGTAATTCGATTATCTGACCGGGATTGCGTCGCTCGACCCTCGGACGACGGTGGGTTTTGATAGGTCTACTGCTTCTAGAGCTTTCGCCTTGTTTCTCGTTTGATGGCTCTAGCTGAGAAACTAGCGAATGGAAGTAGAATTGCAGTATACTGTCTCAAAACATAATATTAGGAATTGAACAATTGTACATTTTCCGAAGAGGATAGCTCTAGAAATGGAAGTAGAATTGCAGTATACTTTTCCAAAACATAGCACTAGGAATTGAAATTCAATTGTAATACATTTTCCAAAGAAGATAGCTCTAGAAGCATCGTTACACGAAAACCTACAAAGCCAGAAATAGCAGTCTTCCGAGGGTCGAACGCTAGACACGTCGCAATGGCGATCCTCATGTTGCATCCATCGCTTGCAAAACGACGCAACCGCTTCGCAAATGAGCCGCGAACGATCACCGCATCCAGGCACATCGAGTCGCAATCAGGTTCCGTTGATGACGCGAACGACCGTCGCGAGCCTCTTCATCGCACGCGTTCCGCCTGTCGAAACGGTCTCGCATATTTCTTTCCCGAAGCTCTTCGCTTTCTTTCCTTTCGAATGCTAAACGAAGGAGTAACTTCAAGCAATTGAGCAAATGATACGTGTGTTGCTGAATGTTGATACTGTGCGCTCGACGGCAAGAGGAAGGCAGCGTGATCATTTTCAGGGAAGAGAAGAGAGTTCTCTTAGCGACGTTGTCGCACGGAAGTCGACACGGGGGTCGTTTCGGACGAGCGCGACGATTCGATGAATCGTTCCGTTCAACGTTGTTCTTTCTGGTTTTAGTGCGTATCACGGCCATTTGACCTCGATGATCGATATATCGCCGTACAAGTTCAACAAACCGAACGGGCCTGGCAAGAAGGACTGGGTTCACGTGGTAAGATTCGCTACAGTGAAGAGAACGGTAGAATTGAACCGAGATTTAAAGATCCAGGTTCAAGTGGAATTTACTCGACTACGAAATCGGTCTGAATTGTTCCAGGCACCGTGCCCAGACGTTTACCGGGGCAAGTACCGTGAAACCGATTACCCTGGCGAGGATCTGGGCGTCAAGTACGCGAACGACGTGAGAAACATTTGCCAGAACCTCAAGTCCCAGGGCCGTGGCGTCTGCGCGTACATCGCGGAGAGCCTGATGTCTGTCGGTGGACAGATCCTGCCGCCGCAGAATTATTTCAGGAACGTGTACAGGTAATGTCGATTGTATTTCGAAGAGGATTTAGCTTTCAAGTGAATTCGAAATAGGCACTGTTACAAATAGAATTGCCAATGCAATCTATGGATTCGATTGAATAAAATTTTAATCAATTGCGGTGGAAACACAGACCTCAATGTTCATGACGATATAATGTAGTTGGTGATTACGTTTCGATCAATTGTGTCGAACGTGTTCGCTCATTGTCTTTGTTAAATGAAAACTGATTCAACAGGCACGTCAGAGAACACGGTGGCCTGTGCATCGCCGACGAGGTTCAAGTCGGGTTTGGCAGGGTCGGAAGCCATGTGTGGGCGTTCCAGTTGTACGGGGAGGACGTTGTGCCGGATATTGTCACCGTTGGGAAGCCCATGGGCAACGGCCACCCTGTGGCCGCTGTCATTACGACCCCTGCTATCGCGGGGAGCTTCAAAGACACTGGCATCGATTATTTCAACACAGTGAGTGCTCAACAATTATTTCGCTTGACTTAACAAATATTTAAATTCGAATTTTCGAAGTCAAATTTTTCTACTCGAAGAGTTTGTATTCGGATTCCTGAACGAGTTCAGTTAAATTGAATTTGACACGTTGACATAAATATAAATTATATATATATAAATTATAAACTGAATAAAAAGATAGTGATTTTATTCTTAAAGTATGAAGTCTAGATCGAACTCTCAAGAATCAGTTAAAGGGGGACGAAAGAAATTAATCCCAACGCTTCCTGTTTTTCTGTTCCCTCTTGTAAAACACTTGAAATTTTCTTTCCTCTCGTAGTACGGTGGCAACCCAGTGTCCTGCGCGATCGCGAACGCAGTGCTGGACGTGCTGGAACGCGAGAACCTGCAGGAGAACGCTCTGAAAGTAGGGAATTACCTGATGTCCGAGCTGAGGAAGCTCCAGAAAAGATGGGAGATCATCGGGGACGTACGAGGCGTGGGATTGTTCGTCGGTATCGAGCTGGTTCGCGACAGGATCGCGAGAATACCGGCGACTGCCGAGGCGAATTACGTTGTCTCCAGGATGAAGGAGAAGAAGGTCCTTATCAGCAGCGACGGGCCGGACGACAATATCCTGAAAATCAAACCGCCGATGGTGTTCTCCATTGAAAACGTCAATCATTTGATATCCGTCCTCGACGAGGTCCTGCAGGAAGTGGATATCGAGCTTCAAGAGGTAATTCAGGATATCCTGATAAAAGCAGATTATTTTTTAAGATTATTACGAATAGTTTGAAAAATTGAAAGGTGACAGGGTAGATTAGACAGAAAAACACAGACGTCCTGATAGTAACAGTTGATTCCGAAGGATTATCGTTAATAATTGATAAATGACAGAGAAAGTTGCTGGATGCAGACATTTTTCTGAAAACAGGACATTATCTGTAGACGCTGATAGGAAATTAGAAGCCGTTATCTCTGTCTTATGCACGATTGTTTTGACTTATTGCATCCGGTCGATGTAACGGCACAAAACAAAGTTGCACGCGCGACATTAGATTTTTCCACGAGGTTCTGCAACTGTTGCGAGTAAAAGCGCAATCTCTGGTTTTTTTCCTAGAGCGCAATGTTACACATTGCAGCTGCACGTCATGCTCATAAGCATATTTGTCCGGCGTGTGCACGTGCTTGCGAATCTTGTGCCTCGATTCTTCTCGATAATCCAGAAATTCGATGAGTCCCCTTGTACAAGCGTTGTAAGAATATTCAATGCTTCGAAAATATCAATAATTGCTAAAAAAATCGAAACCAGTCATTTTGACTGGTACGGTGGTTCTAGTGTTGAGGAGATGGTTCATAAACCTTCCTTCGAGAGCGACGAATGGAATTAATATCAGGACACTGAGAACGTTGAATGCAGCGAATGAGTTCGTTTAAACGATCCGTGATTAATATTTCATTTAATCTGGGAACTTCTCGTTGCAGAACTACGAGCCGGTGACGATCATAAAAGCGACGATCTCGCAAATGGACGTGGACACGGAGAGCAGCAGCAGCAATCACACCGCTGGAAAAACTTTCCTCGTTCGCGCGAATTAACGTCCGAACGGAATATATTCGTAAACCGCGGTGCGATGCGATTTATAGTATTATTATCTGTGTACGCGAATGTCTATCGTTACACGACTTTCTTGTATATATGCTTACTCGAAACTTTGAACATTTTATGTACATATAGGGTAAAGAAATGCAGACCTGTTGAATCGGTGAAGAAACAGGCGATTAGAATTAAGATCCGTGGATAATGAATGGCACGAAGAGAATCTGACAAGTGTGAAATATATTTTAATAAACAATACTTTTTCTTTACACACGAGAATCTTGTTATTTGCGAACGATGAAAGCCTTACCTTTATTCGGGAGGAATAAGGAAGAAAGTCGCAGAGATCCAAGGAAGCTGTGAGATCGATGCGATTTCTTCAGCTGGAATGATCATGCGCGTGTTACACGTTTCTCGATTAGTCGTCGCACCGTCGACAAATTTCAATCGAAGAAAAAACGAGCACAGATAACGGATAAAGTTTCTAGTTCGTTCTGGAGGCCAACGGAAGTTTACATGTTTTCAATGTATTCCGGGACCCGGTGACCCCACGTGCATTTCTTAAACGCTTTAACATTAATAAACCAAGCAGATATAGTTGATCTTGCCCACGTAATCGATACGTATCTAGCAAATAATCGAAAACAACTATTTGTGAAAACACGTTGATTATTGGCAAATAAACGAAGTGGATGAAAAATACCTGGACTTGAGAATAACACAGATTAATCGTATAGAACAGTTATGCAATGATTAATATTATAGTCTAGTGTCACTATAGTTATCAATTAAACTAAGAAGCAAATATTATTGATTACGACTCATTACAACTATTATAATCTAAGTAAAATATGTGTCAAGGTACTCGTTGGCTGACAGTTCACAGCAATCCAAAGAATTTAAGTTCGATACTTTTCAACTTTCTTCTTAATAATCTATGAAATCTTCATTACCGTCACGTGTCGGTTAATTTCAAGTGGTCTAATCAACTAACTGTGCCAGTTTCGAGAAACGTTGAATCACGACATGTCTTGACCCCAGTCCGAGGTGACCAACATCCTGATGCGAGCCGCGGGGATTGATAAAAGTGTTGATGCAGCCATTCAACAAGATTATGCCGAGCTACACGGTGTTTGTTATCGCTGAATCGACATAATTTACGTATAAATGTTCCGGAGATGCAGAAGCACATCGCCAGTTAGTGGTTGTCCAACGACTATCAACATGTGGCTACCTCTGACACTCTTAGTTCTTGGTAAGTGAACCCAGAACGATCCAAGTTGCTCGATCAAACATCTACGATCGCAGAATTCGATTAATCACCAGAACGTTCATTTCCTTTCCTGAAATGAAATCTTCGTTAAACATCGACTTCCGAGTACAGTTTCAAATTTTCTGATTACAATATTTTTCCCGCGTAATCCACGCTCACCGAGGATCAAATTATTTCCTGATCTTTCTAAATTTCCATGGGATAAATAATATTCTTTTTATTTATTCAAGGATTCACTCGTTTCTCGTTGTTTCTAGGTCAGAAAGCCCTTCTTGTTACAGCTTCTGAATACGTTGTATAATCATTTCAGAAGTCAAAACATTAATTTCCTCAATTTTTCTAAGGCTTCTAAGCGACTCACTCGCAGTCCCGACCAATCAGTCACGGCTGGGCGTGACTCCCAGCCTCCCAGCGCGCTCTGATTGGTCCGAACTTCGACTGACTACTTCATTCCTAATTTTCATCCTCGAGTCGCTATCACGCAGACAATTCGACAACGCTAAAATCACGTTCGTTCCGCAGCGGGGACAGTTTCAGCCGACTTCGACCATGGCTGGAAGGTCGGCAAAGAGTACTCTTACCTGGTGCGCAGTCGCACGATGACTGGTCTCGACAAACTCGGCGACCAGTACACGGGCGTCCTGCTGAAGGCGTTGCTGAAGGTCCAAGTGAAGGACCCGCACACGCTGATAGCACAGTTGTCGCGCGGCCAGTTCGCCAACATCCACAAGGAGTTGCCGGACGGTTGGGACATGCCTATCTCGGATCAGATGCTCGATCTGCAGGAATTGCCGATCACCGGCAAGCCGTTCGAGATCAAGGTCAAGCGCGGAGTGATCCGTGACCTGATCGTCGAGAAGGGCATCCCCAGCTACGAGGTGAACCTGCTCAAGAGCGTGGTCAGCCAGCTGCAGGTGGACACCCTGGGCGAGAACGCGATCAGGACGAGGAGCAACGTCCAAGTGCCGAACGAGGAGGAGCCCTACGGCTCGTTCCCCGTTATGGAGGACTCGGTCGCTGGCAAGTGCGAGGTGCGCTACGACATCACGCCTCTGCCGGACCCCATGATCCAGCTGAAGCCCGAACTGGTACCCATGCCCGAGCTGAAAGGCGACGGCCACCACATCGACATCATGAAGACCAAGAACTTCAGCAAATGCGAGCAGCGCGTGGACTATCACTTGGGCATCACCGGAAGCACCAACTGGGAGCCTGGCACCAACGACAACGGAGAATTCCTCTCGGTGAGTGCGCCGATGACGGTGTAAATGAACGTAGATCGGAGAAGAGAGGGCACTCGGGAGATTCCGATACTAATCAATGCTCCTTACAGAAATCGTCGACCAGCAGGATCGTCATCTCCGGGAGCCTGAAACGCTTTACGGTTCAGTCATCCGTAACCACCAGCCAGTTATTCGTTAGCCCGAGGTTCTACGACCAACAGAACGGTATAGTGATGAGCAAGATGAACCTGACCCTGAAGCGCGTCAATCCGATCTCCGATCGCCTTACGTCCCCGAGCGAGCCAGAATCCACTGGCAACCTTGTGTTCGTCTACGATAATCCCTTCACGGACTTCGCGGAACGCAGACCAGGCAAACCGACGGACAGCAATCAACTGGTCACCTCGGACGGTGTGCGATCGGTGAGCTCCAGCGAGGAGGTACGGAAAAATCTGCTGAACATCCGTGGATCCGGCTCGAGCGATTCCAGCAGCTCGATCGCCAGTAGCGAGGATCGCGGCTTCTGGCAGCCCAAGCCTACCTTGGAGGACGCTCCGCAGAATCCTCTGCTGCCCAACTACATTGGCAACAAGGGCAAGTACATCGGCAACACCGGCGCGATCGACACGATCAAGGTCTCCAAGGACATCATCTACCAAATCGCCAACGAGCTGGAGGAAGCGAGCAACATCCCCAAAGAGCAGACTCTGGAGAAGTTCACGATCTTGACCAGCCTGTTGCGCACCCTGAACAGGAAGCAACTGGCCGAGGTCGAGAACAGCATACAGATCTCGATCAACGACTTGAAGACGAAGGACAAGACGCAGGCCGTTAAGCAGAACGCTTGGGCCGTGTTCAGAGACGCCGTCACTCAGGCTGGCACCGGGCCTGCTCTGCTCACCATCAAGAAATGGATCCAGAACAACCACATCACTGGATTGGAGGCTGCCAGCGTCATCTCCAGGATCCCGAAGACCGCGCTGACGCCCACTGCCGAATACGTTAGGGCCATGTTTGTGAGTATCCTCTTTTTCAAGCACTTGATGTCTCAAGGGAAGCTCGTTAGTGTGAGAACGAAGGTTGATTTTCTCTTGAATGTCCATTGTTCAGGAACTAGCCACCAGCTCCGAGGTCAAGAACGACAGGACCATGTGCGCGACAGCTATACTAGCGTTCACCGAACTGGTCCGCTTGTCGCAAGTGAACAGCCGCACGCTCCACAACCGTTACCCGGTGCACACGTTCGGTCGCATGATATCGAAGCAAGACAAGACGGTCGTCAACGAGTACATCCCCTACTTGGCCCGCGAACTGAAGCAAGCGGTGACCGATCGCGACAGCCCGAAGATCCAGACCTACATCCTGGCGTTGGGTAGCATCGCTCACCCGAAGATCCTCACTGTCCTCGAGCCTTACCTGGAGGGCAAAGAGCAAGTGACGGTGTTCCAGAGGACGCTGATGGTGGCCTCCCTCAACAAACTCGCCGACATCAACCCTAGACTGGCGAGGTCCGTGCTCTACAAGATCTACCTGAACACCATGGAGGCCCACGAAGTCCGTTGCGCCGCTGTGTTCCTGCTGATGAAGACCAACCCGCCTGTCAGCATGCTGCAGAGGATGGCCGAGTTCACCAACTACGACACCAGCAAGCACGTCAACTCCGCCGTGAAGTCCACCCTCCAGAGTATCACCACTCTGACTAGCCCGGAATTGAAGGACCTGGCCAACAAGGCTCGCGCCGCTGTCAACCTGCTCGACGACAACGAGTACAGCTACCAATACTCCCGCGGATTCGTCTCGGAAACCGTGAACAATCGGCAGAACATGATAAACAGACTGATCTTGAACTACATCGGCAGCGACGACAGCGTGATCCCCCGCGCTCTCTTCGTTAAATCCTACGACAGCTACGGCGACTTCCAGGTGCCGCCCACTGAACTGTTCGCCATGTTGTCCAGCGTGAGACCCATCTTGGAGATGTCCCTCGACAGCGAGGAGAAGGAACAATCCGGCAAATGGCTGTGCGAGAAACTCGCCGAGGAGCTGCACATCATACCCGAGGAGCCGATCGAGATCGAGGGCAACATCCTGCTGGACTCGAAATTCAGCTCGAAATTCTTGCCTTTCGACGGACGCACTCTGCGCAAGATTCCCGCATGTGAGTAGTTGGTATTCTATTGCGATCTGCGTGAAATCGGCTTAACGGCCGACTCCGAGTGAACGTTTAGCTTGGCGATTCGAGCGATCTGTTTCACAAAAGACCGTTCGAACATTTTAGGGATCAGGGAGCAAATAATGGCCCCGAAGCACGGTGGCTACATAAACTTGAACAAGCTGATGTCCTATGAGGTCACTCTGAGTTTCCCCACGGAGACGGGTCTGCCGTTTGTCTACATGTTCAAGGCACCTACCCTGTACAAGATGAGCGGACAGAGTCAGATGAACTTTGGCCTGGACATGAGCGTGAACGCGAAGCTCGACACCCGCATCGTCTTCTCGAAGAAGATCCAAGGCAGAATCGGTTTCTTGGCGCCGTTCGAGCATCAGCACTTCATCGCCGGCGTGGACATGAACTTACAGGCTTACGCGCCGATCAGGTTGTCCGCTGATGTCAATCCGGTGAAGGGCAGCATGAGGGTGAAACTGTGGCCTCTGAAGGGCGAGGAACACGCTCGGCTCCTGCACTACAGCGTGGTGCCGTTCACGGCTAGTCACGACATCTTCAGCCAACGACCTTTGCTCACCGAGAAGACCACCCATCGTATAATCGGCAAGATGAACTCCCAGAAGACGTTCGCTCTGCCTAGCAAGGACATTGATAGTTTCCGCTTGGAGATGGAAGGCTGCGAGAACGACGAAGAGTTCTGGGACTGGAATAAGATCGACATGGAGAACCTGCTCACCTTCCCGTGGACCGACGCCACCGACGAATTCCGATCGCTCAATTTGGTGATGAGGTTGCAAGGCGAGCAGAAGGAGCCGCTGATCCTCACCGTGTCGAAGAAGGAACGCAACGAGAAACCCGAAGAACAGCAACCGTGGATACCCAAGGCCAAGGCTGTCGTGCCGACCACCACGGAATCGAACAGCGAGGAGCGCCGGGAGCAATTCCTGAAAGAGGTCGGCAAAGGCATCAAGGCTGCCAGGTCTACGGTGGTGGACGTTGAACTGCAGATCCCTGGCGAACTCGAGAGCCGCAACGCTTTCACCGCTGCCTGGTCCGAAAGCAACGCCGACAACAAGCAGAAGATCCTCCTGTTCTGGAAAATCAACATTCCCTCGGAAGAGTTCAAGTACGAAGTTTGCTCCGCGATAAACTCCGTAGAACCGGACAACACCATCCCGTCGTACGAGATGGCGATGAAGACCCTGCCCAAGGAGGAGATCGACATGGACATCCGTTTCGGCGTGAACTGCGCCGACGGCGAGCAGATCAATGTTAAGGGACAGGCGGTGCAGAGCGCGGAGATGAGGAAGGAAATCGAGAAGTCTGCCGTGGCGAAGACCTGCGAAGAGCAGATGATGCAGGGCAACAAGGTTCTCAGGGACTGCCAAACCGCCGCTGCCTTAGCCAAGATCTGGGACGAGCTGCACTTGTCGTTGAACATCGACTCCGAGCCTTTGATGTACGCCGTCAAGATGGGCATAGACATGCTCAGCGACAGCAAATACCTGGACTCCACGGTGCACACCACCAAGCCGAAGAACGCTGGCAAGAACAAGATCGACATCACGACCAAGCTGTCGAAAGATCTTGACATGATGGACGTGGCCATTCACACGTCGGACAGGGACGTGCACATCAACGACATTGGCACGGATCTGTTCGACGTCTACCCCGAGGACCGGAACACGGACAACGACATCCCCGACTTGCTCGACGAAGATCTTCAATGTAAGTAAACTTTGTGCATTGATGTTAGGTTCACGTTTCTTGTACTGCTAGCGAAGCCTTGGGAAATCATTCTTTCGCATCGTTGATCGTGAAAGTCCTCAATCGATGCTTTCGTTCCCTTCAGCGTCCTGCGTGCTCGACAAGACCAGGGCTGAGACCTTCGACGGCAACAGCTACCCGCTCAGACTGGGCAACTGCTGGCACGTGCTCTTTACCACCTACCCGAAGATGAACCCCGAGCAACCCGGTGAGATGCAGCGCGTCCCCGAGGACCTGAGCGTGAGCATCTTGGCCAAAGAGGTCGGAGATGGACGCAAGGAAGTGAAGATCATGCTTGGCAAACGGGAGATCGTGCTGTTGCCGGGCGAGACCGAGCCAGAGGTGCTCGTAGACTCGCAGAAAGTTCCGATCTCCAGGGAGAAGAACTTCCAGGAAAGACGCAAGGATGAGATCCTCCTGGAGATCAACAGGCTCTCCGACAACTCCATCGCCGTGGTCGCCGACAAGCAAGACGTGCAGCTGATTTACGACGGAAAACGTATCGTGATCAAGGTGAGACGAGGCTCCAGTCGATTGGGGAAACGAAATTAACACTATTGCATTGTTCCTAGAACAACTGATGTTCCGTAAGCCGACTGTTAACCTTTTAGCTACGGCAATTTTAGCTACTTTCAGCTATGGCAAGGTTTGACGCGTGTCATAACTGTATCACTGCGATTTGAGACTGATAGACTTTTCCACTGTGCAATTACGTTAGATTAGATCTTAGAAATTGAATTTGTCATGGACCCGGTACTCTTCGAGCGTATCAGCTAATCGGAAACCAATGTTCACAGGCCTCGGACGACTATCGCGGCGCAGTGCGAGGTCTCTGCGGTAACTTCGACGGTGAGGCGGCGAACGACTTCGTGGCCCCTCAGAACTGCATGGTGAGGAAATCGGAGCACTTCATCGCTTCCTACGCACTCACCAATCAGCAGTGCGAGGGTGACTCCGTGGTGAACGCGGAAGAGGCCAAGAAAGAGTGCCGCCCCATCGCCAAGGCCCGGCAGAGCAATGTGATCAGCGACGTCGACGCCGGAAGGGAGATCGTCGAGAAATGGCCCTACCCGCGCGGCGAGTACAAGCAAATCGACAAACGCTGCAACACCCACAAGACCCAAGTGGAAGAGCTGGAAGACCAGATCTGCTTCTCGACTAGGCCAGTCGTTGCCTGCGCCCCTGGCTGCTCGCCTGTCGAAACCAAGGACAAGAGCTACCAATTCCACTGCATGGAGAAGAACACGGCTTCCCTGGACCTGAAGAAGAGGATCGAGAAAGGCGCCATGCCCGACCTCAGCCAGAAACCGGTCTCCATGTCGCGGCAAATCAACGTTCCTCTCATGTGCAAAGCGTAATCAGCGCGACACTCTTGTATTTCCACTTCGTAGCTAGTGTAGTAGTTAGCAGATGTAGTTTCTTTTATATCTGACGCAAACGTGTATTAATAAAATTTATTTTTCAATATAATTCGTCAGTCTGTCTTCCTCCTAGTCTGTGATCTCGAAGTTCCCGATCAGTTCTGGGTTTTTTGAATCCATCATTAGGAGGATCATAGGATTACTGTTAAGTGGCACTCAGGACGAGAGGGCGACATCGTGAATAGGACACTTCAGTCGAATTTGGTTCAGCCGGCAATCCATGCTCCTTATCTGCTCGTAAAGCTCGTTTATCCCGGCACAGGGATCTTCCGAATTAGTCGACGCGTCTTCTTTCAATCGACACGTCCGCCTGCTGGTTTTCTGTTCGATCTTCATCGAAGCCGTCTCGCGTGGGTTGTGCAAGGAAGCCTCTTTGCGCCCTCTGTTCCCCTCGCGCCTCATTTTCTCTTGTTCCTCGTAAGGGAAGCCTGGGGATTTCATAATTCTTGATCGTTTTCTGAGAGTCTACGCTGTTCTGTCTCCTTTACAGCCTTTTGCACGGTGAAACAGAAGCTTATAGTAGTAGTAGGTTCGAGTTCCGACTCGCTAACACGTGATTTCGACATTACATTCTCTTTCATAACGGAATACAAAGTTACGATTTGTACGACATCGGTGGTCGGTATCTCGTTGCGCAAGAGGAAGCATCTAATCTTACTTCTAAATACTGGCACGGTCCCAGCCCGCAAATCCCTTTCGATATCGCGGATCTCTCTCTCGCATCTCTCGTAGCGTGTGCCGCGGAAGATCAAGGATCGCCTCGGATCTATATCGCAGCCCCGGCAACAGACCGCGTTCCTGCCGGTGTACCCCCTATATTTGAAACACTTGAGCATCTCCTCGATGAACGTGACTCGGGACTCGTCGATCCTGGTGATCACGCCCGGTCGTTGTTTCGTCCGTAGCAAATGGTGCAGCTGCGATAACGAATCGAGGGTCAGTTTCGAGTTGCGAGTAGTGGAATCGAGGCGATGTTACCTTGAACAAAATGAAGAGGATCCACTGCATGGATTCGTGCTCCATCGCGCGTTCTCGGTGCTCCATCTCGCTTTGTCTGAATCTAATTAAAACGAATGTACGGGAGATCGGTGAATGAGGTTTCCATTTGATAAGCCAATCGCAGGATAGAAAATAGCGTACGATGCTTGAGAAATGATCCATAGTCAAGAGATTAACGTGATGCGTTTTTCAAATTTGAGAAGAATGATCTCTTCTTGGCAGATGCCTTCGAAGAATAATATATTTAAGTTTTCATCAATTCTTCAGGAAAATTTGCAGAAGGTATTAGGCAAAGCTTGAAGAAGGATCAACGATCGAGAGACTAATATTCCAGACACTGACCTGTTCATGTTCTCCACAGTTTCCTCGTTCTTCTTGTAAACGTTCTCCAGCCACCGTCGCATCTTGGGGATATCGAGGACCGTTCTCCTGACCCAGTAACCCCGCCAGGTCGCCTGGATCCTCATCGCCATTCGATCGTAATAATCCTGCCACATCTGATGAACACGCTCAACCAGGTATCGATCCACGAAAATCCGGGCACAATAACCGCGCCAATGCCGCTGAATGGTGATCGCGCTCCTGTGCAGCAACCGGAAATGCTTACGGGTCAGGATACCACGGATCCACGCCTAAAACGTCACGCTACGCTGCGGATGCGCAACTTGCGACTTAATGAAAATTAACATTTATCACATAATTCTTCATTGTCCGATACAACCGAGACTGATTCGAATATTCGGCGCCATTTTTGTCTACCGAAAGTTCAGATCTGTTTGAATTTAATGTCTTCCATTCGGGGTATCCGACCAATACTTTACCCTACCTGTTTCATTGTATCATTAGTGAATTACGTGACAACCGTTTTAATTGAAACGGGTACACGATTTCTCTCTAGCTAAAAATAATGGCGGATAGCGGAATATTGTCGTGTCGTAAAATATGTCGGCTTATATATTGGCAGACGTAATGCGTGGGATCATTGAAACGTCTAGCTATCTAGACACACAGAATCAGGGGATTAAATCTGAAATTTGTCGGAGCAATTTGTCACGTCTAAAATTGTATCCCGCGCGGGCCATTCGATTCCCTGATGCAACTCCGATTAATGCAATTAATGTACTTCAGACGTCCTGATCCTAGGATTCGGAGGATCGAACGAAGTAATTTAAAGTAAAAGAACAACTTCGGGATAATTCTTCTCCGATCAATGGACCGTTAGAAGCTTAATCCTCTGCATTCGGGAGGTGACACGGGTTTCCTTTTATATAGCAATACTATAAAACTCGATATCGTATTTCGTGTAATCCAATCGGACATGAAATATTGAAATGAAACGTTTCTCTCCATTGATTCGCGTATTATCTCCATTCAGTAGGGTCAATAATTTAATCAACGCTTCGCTAGAAATTCATGAATGTGCGTAGCGGGAAAATTCTCGAGTGAAGGAGTTAATGTTACAATGCCTTTTATTTTGTGCAAGACGAATGCGATAAATCATCCTCGCGGAGACATCGACGCGCAGAGGAGAGAGTCGCGCGCGAATTTCAAACACGCGGCCGAGAAAGAGTGGCACGATGTCGCGGTCTTGACCTTAAATAATCGATATCGCGTCGGACAAGTGTCGATTACGGCACCCGGCGTATTATTATTTTTGAATCTCCCGTCGCGCTCGGACGGGAACGATAACTTTCGCCGTCGAGGTCGAGGTTATCAGTCCTTTTTATTTTTCTGCCTTTCCCGCCGCGCAGGTTTAACCTGTATTCTCCGAGCCGCGACGAAAAGCTCGCGCCTGATCGACTCCGCGAAGTCGTCCCTCCTTTTGATCTCCTCCTGCAGATCAACGGGATCCACTTCGAGTCTCAACAAGGAAACCATCGTTGAGAATCCCGTACGAAACTCTTCGAAATCCGCGCGAGCGAAAATCGGAGATGTTTACTCGAATCTGTCGCGTGAAGTTGTCACCGGTTTTCGTCGATATGCCAAATTAAAATATCAAATTTTCCGCGTGACATGTTCGAAGGACTCTGGGAAACAGCAAACGCGTTATTATATTTATGAAGTAGGTTCCGAGATCTCAGATAACGGAGATCGCGGATAATACCGGGCGATTTCACGGAGCAAAATGCAGAAAGTGAAGGAGGTATGATGTGAAATTATTTCATCAAATTGGGTTATCGTTATTGGACGATTATCTGGCTAAGTCTAATCGCTTTAGGTTGCATTATTTAGAGTATAGAAGAATTTTCGAATAAACACTGTTTAATCGAGTGAGTTACAGTAAGTTGATTTGGCATTCGACGCGTTAGTGGTGATTCTGAAACGCAGTGTCCTCGGAACACAGAATTCTGGATAGTTTCGGAACGAAGGAACTGTTTGCCCCGCGAAGTAGGAAGTTCGGCAGGGGGAGCAATAAATAATTTATTTCCTCGTACACTTCGAGCAACGTGGTGTGTCTATGCTCGGCGGAAGCAGCGCCGTGGTCAGAGAATCCCGATGTAGAGCAGAAAGATGAACAAAGAGGCGGAGAAGAACATTAGGGTAGCAGTGGCTGTGGCTACCACCACGTTTCGCTTCTTCCGGGTGGTCCTCATCATGTGGAAGTCCTTTCTCGACTGCGCAGAACGTTCGATAAATACTTATACGAATAATTATCATTTATCCTTAGCAGTAGCTTCATTAATAATAACGAATAGATCGTGAATTTCATGCGCAGCATCCGCGATTACTTAGAACTTAATGCAGATAATCGAGTATCTGAAATATTTTCGTTATTTAATTTCTTCGGTGATTAACATTAAATCGTCCGGTAGTTAGCGATGACGATTACTCGATAATCCGACAGAATATTCTATTTCCAAGGGTAACCGACGAACGAATCGTTATTCAGAAAGTGCAAGAAACTTCGAACGCTCCACCGAAATGCTTCGATAAACTGGCCGCCCGTTGGCCGAGCTCGCGATACAAAGCCGATAAATGTTATTTGTTGCTTTATTTTCGTCACTTTTAATTAATTTCGTCGAACGTTACGATAGCGAGGTGGAGTTAATAAAAGACGCGGAGCTGGTTCTCCGTTGTTTCCTCTAGCGGCGTCATCTTAATGATCAGTTCAAGCGAATTGCACGTAGTTCCTGTCAATAAAGACGAGAAACAATAAGAAAAGTTCCAGCTTGAAAATAATGCAACCGGTATCAGTTCGCAGGCCCGTTAATCGTTCGCCGATACACCCGTAATTAATGGTATCTTTTCAGCGTTTCGAAATAAAAGAGCTTAATCTCGAGCGGCCACCCCGGGCAAATAAACAACGCGGACGGTTACGAGCTGGGGTCGTATCCGCAATATGCGACCGCGGCCGGTTGTTATTCAATGAAAAGTGCCTCCGCTCCCGTGCTTTTATAACCAGAATGTAATCTGATTACACATTAATAACGACGAGCCGGTTGTAACCTTCCATTCGATTATGAATTTGCTTTCCATTAATGTCAACCGCAACCCCCTCTAATCACCTCGATTTCTAGGTCACCGACGAATCCCGATTTAGGAGAGTAACGATCGAATCACCTGTTAATCGCACCGTCGAATTACAGTTAAAATAGTAACCTGCCGAACGTCTGTAATCTACTGCTAAACCGACACGATTGGAAGCGTTGCTGTCGGTTGCTAGTAACGCTAAAATTAACAGAAAACTTTCAGTCGGAACATCGATATCTCTTACTGTCATCGAAATTACGAAGGTCCTTCTACAAGGAACTGTAAAGTACGTTTCTACTCATATGGATGTAACGATGAGCGCCACGAATCTCGAGAATCTCCGTAAATTTTTACAAGAAACGACGAGCAAGTCTAGCAATTTGAAAACATGTCTATCGGACGTTACCGTGTTGTTTAGGGTTAAAGCCCCGAGTCGAGCTCGGTGCGCGAGCACCGGGCTTTAGGGCAATCGAGGCGGAATCGATCGTACCATGATCTGCAAGCTCTGGGTCTTGCGCACCAGCTCGTCCAACCTTTGGCCCCTGTCGATCAATTTCTGAACGCCATCCATCAACGCTTTCCGGATCTCCGCCAGTTCGACCTCCAGCCGCGGAATCACGTCTACCTCCTGCCGATTGTACTCCTCCTGCAAACGGTGCCACGCTTGATCCTGCCTCTGCTTATCGACCGGGCTAATCGAGTCCCAGCCGGGAATCAACCCGGTGATCTCACCACAATCTTCTTCAAAGGTTTCGACAGGTCGGCGACGGCCACGTTGGTCAGGTCGTTCGAAAGATCGGCTAAGATAGGCAGCTCCCTGTACACGCTCCGCAATTTTTCCAGGAAAACGTGGCTGCAGGATTCTAGGCTGGCCGCCGACGACGGAGAATCTGGTTTCGATGTCAGGCACGCGTAGTGCAGCTCGCCGATCAACACGTGCACCGTGTACCTGCAGGAAAAGAAGGCTTAGGTTAAGTAGATCTGAGGATTTCGATTGCCGAGCTGTTGATCTTGCTTCTCGAAGGTGTCTTTGGATGCATGTCTAATTCAGCTGACCCTTAATCCTTGAATAATGAATACAGGATCACGACTGCGTCGGTGGTTTGAGAAAGACTACAAATTTCAGGGGATAGTATCAATATTTATAGATCTTTAAAGGATTTCGCTAACGCTAGAACTGCCGAGCAGTTTGACTTTCTGACATTCCTGTATAGAAACTACAAGAGTGCATCTGGTTTAGCTTAAGCGAGAATGGAGACAGTGGTCCTTGTTTCCTTCGGACAACCGATTCGATGAAAGTATGGACGCTTACTTGCCCCGATCGAGACTGATCCTGTCGTTCTCCACGGACTTCAAGCCGTCCACCGTGCTGAGCGCGATGGCCCTGTAAGCTGGGTCCTGTTTCGCTGGATAATCGGCGACGATCTTGCAGCCGGACTTCTCCCAGAACGCTACCAACGCGTAGTGCACCGTCTTGTTCATCGTCGACACTGGACACGGTCACTTCGTCTTGCAATCAGTCAAAGCATTAACACGATCCTTGGTTCCCTCCAGACACACCGGTGTTCTCTTTGAAACTCGCGCGCGACGCTACTTGACGTCAAACCGATCAGATCCGAGTCTTCCTCTCGCGGAAGTATTACTGTCAATTGCATTCACTGCTGTCCTTAATTTATCGTAACAAAAGAACCTATCGAAGACGTGAGGTAGCTAAACGAGGTGATTCGCACTTTCGAAGAATTGTTCCCCGAAGAGAAGGTTTCTTTACCTTCTCCGGCGTGACGGACGCTTCGCGCGCGGTTCCTTGAAGAAAACCGACACGATCGTCGGCACTAGCGAACGCTGGGGCAGCACTCGCGTCGCGGAACACGTAGGATCATTCGCGGACGGATGACGGGAGCGTCTGTATCAGTTTCGAGAGCCGAGCGCGGGCAAACACGGTGCTCAGCGAGTGTTTACCAGGGATAGCCGCTGTATCGGCAATGAGTAATGAAAGAAATTTTCGATAAACCCGATAGTACGACGCGTGTCGCGCGTCCTAGAGCCGCTGCTCGCTGCACCCTCCCAACGTAATGCCCCGTCATTGTTTAACGATGCTCGGATTTCTGGTTTTTCTTCATTTTTCACGATGGAACGCGGCGCGGCGGGACGGAGGAAGATTAGATAATTCGACAGGTACACGACCAATGCGAACCTTCCGCTTGATGCTGGACGAACAGAGGCAGAGATTCTGGATGATTTTAGGGGATGAATCTTATCGACAGAATCGATCCTTCTTTTGATTGTTCCTATACATCGTCGTATTTTTCTTGGCGAAAAACGAGCACGATATAACTTCATTATCGCTGTATACAACAGAGAAATTAATCTTCCACATACTTTCGTTGCGTATCGACGATTGAGATACAATAATCTATGCTTTGGACCGATAATGAATCTTAAAATACTCTCTAACGTTTTCGTGGAACGAATATTTCGATACCGAGACCGTCAAGCGAGAAAGTTCGGAGCTTCCGCAGCACGATTCCCGATTGGAAACAAGAAAATTTAATCGAAGCCATTGGCCGTTAGCCACCGATCGATGCTCCGTGTGTTTGCAGTGAGCCAGTTAACGCTGTTTTCGACTTCCTCGATGGCGTTCTTCTTCTCAGTTTCCGTCACGCCGAGGTCGGCGTGGCGCAAGAAAAATCGTTTCGCCTGCGAAATAAATCGTTTTATCATTTTTTGTACTTGTTAATCGTCCACGAATGCGTACGGACAGTACAGAAATCACCTCGTGCAGCAGTTGTCGGTCCTTGAACAGCGAAACGATCGCGACGACGGCTCGTCCCAAATTGTAACCGTTCGAGACGTATTTTTTGTTCAGACTACTCCAACGAGACCTGCAAATGTATAAATAACCCAGTACGATTATCGCGGAGATCGCGAAGATTACGGAAACGTTATCTTTGGTTATCGTGATACAATGTTACGTCGCAGAAACGCGCACCGTACGAAATTCCAGGCGACCTCCAGCCCCGCCGGAGTGGACGCCATCTTGATCAGCAGCTCGCCGAAGTCCTGTTTACGGACGGAGTTTCCTTTCACCGTCTGCTCCAAGTATCTGAGATATACAGAAACCGTTGCACAGCGGAGCAGAACGCAATCTGATGTTACGTTAAATATATAACTATTTATTTATGTAACGCTCAACATTCCATGGCTCGTTGCCTCGCACCGCGAAGTTACGTGAAGTGCGACGGCCACTACTTTGTGGGAAAGGTTATAATAAACGCAACCGAAGGTTAGAACTTTCCTCGGTGCCCTACGTCTATCTTTAAAGCGATAAATAAGTACGGCAAGAGAATACGTGGAAATTCTGCACGATGCGAGTCGCTGAAGCAACTTGACCGGTCGGAGTTTTCAAAGTAGCGTTGTTTACCGAAAATCGCCTTTTGTCCTTCGATCGACCGAATGTTCCACAAATAAGTCGGAACAACAGAGTACCGATAAATCGAAGAGGGAACGGGAGATAGTACGAGGAACGAGGAAAGTTAACCCTTTGCACTCGAGAGGTGACTCTCAGCCACCGCTCGATTTGATACAGCGAAACTATAAAATTTAGTATTCAATATCGTACCAACGAGACACGAGGTATTTAAATAGAACAGCTCCGTCCATCGATTCACGTGCTATTACCATTTAACAAGGGTAATGATTTAATCAGCGCTTTACCAGAAATTAACACGTTCCGTGCCGTGTGGAACGTACGCGCCCTATATGAACTTCCTGTTCAGGACGATGGATCGCCTAGTAGAGTAACTGTTCAACCATGTGTTTATTAAAACAATTACTTAAATTCGTTGATTCGTTGTCTATTGCATCTTAATCTCTACACCCCTTTCTTGCCGATGTCGAGATCAAAACAATGAATCGCATTCCGTTCGGCCTGAAGAGAAAGTACCCAAGAATCGGTCCAGCGCGGAACGTGTTTAATGAATACGTGCAGGGGAGAAAGTTTCGAGTGCAAAAGATTAATAGCGAGCGGATCCAGCGGCCTGGCGATTGAATGGCGAGTTGACGAACCGGCTAAGGAGGCGTTTATCTTGCGCGGCGGCCAGCCCAATGATCAGCCGATCCCTTTCCTGCGCGTCGGTCTCCCCCGCGAGTAGCCGCGACATGTTTTCAAATATTGATCCGGCGTCGGCGGGCTGCGTGGCGAGGCCTATCGCGGCATTATATCATGAATAATAAAGAACGCGGGGAGCGCGTTCGTGTTTATGAAATTCTCTCCCTCACCGAACGAGTAGACGACAGGCCGGATATCGGCCGGGAGCGGTTCCGCGGCGCTGCCGTCGAGAAAGTCCCTCAGCTTCCGCCTGGCCGTTTCCAGGCAGTGCTCGTGGCCCACGCTGCACGCCGCGTGCAGTATCAGCGAGCCGAGTTCTCTTGAAATGAATCGCAACGGTTTTGCTTAACCCTTTGCGGCAGAAGATTCTTTGAAATGTACAAAACCCTCGGCAGATCGAGCTAAATTGTACATGGATTGCTTGATTAATAGACAAAAAGCAAACTACGTGCTGATCTCTTGCTGTTCGACTAATTGGATCATTTGTTCGCGACTTGGTGTTACGAATATTAAGTTTCACCTCGCCGAAATGTCGATATTCGTTGGCAAAGGGTTAATTCTCTGTTCGATCGACCTTCTACTGTTCATCGATTGAGTAGCTCAGGAGTAGCTCTTGTCTATTTCATTAACATTTAAGAAAATCAGAAAATATCAAAATATTAACTTAACAGCGTTGACTTCTGAGCGATTCAATTATTTATCTGTATGGATTTTTTACGGCTACTTCTACTTTCCTTCGTGTCACGTTATATTGAAATTTATGTAATCCTATTTTGAGGTTTGTGCGATGTGACGGTATTCCGCGTTATGTCGGTTGTGTCATTTTGAAATCTTTTGTAATGGAATTCGTGTTACGTCACGTTGAAATGCTGATGAATGTTCGGTGATCCCGACGTAACGAATAATAGGGGATTGACGTTTTTACGACGCGCTTGTATGTATAACAGTGATGTATTATGCAACGTGCTCGACTAATGACGCTGTTTTCATGTTAATTCATTTGCAGGAAGCTGATTATCGCTGAACCCATCATGGTTAACGTGTTAATTCCTTCGCTGGTAATTGATCAATACATCGGATTCAAATTCGTACGCTGTTGTATAATAATCCTTTGTGCATGATGATTCCGAAGGTTTATTTAAACACTGGATATCGCAGAAACAGTACTGTACGACTCGGATCATGGGAAAATTAACGACAGATGGATCATAGATGGACTAACCTGTTAGAGAAGGATTTTTCTACCGCAACGCGCCATCCGACACGATGATAAATTCTATCGATAAGGCTCCTCGCGTATGACTATGAAAATTCATTATAAATTACTACAATCTTACTATCCATGCGAATCGATGTACCTGGAAACGAGCGTACACTCGTGTTTCCCCCAGCAATCTATTCATCCGACCGAACCACTCAGCGATCACCGCCCAGGGTTGATAATGAGTCTCGTTCACAAGATAAGTAGTCAAATTCATGACTGCAAAGTAACTCAAATCCGCTGCGTCCCCCAGCAGAATGGCGTCGTGCAGCAGGTCAGCCCTGTCCGTAGGACTCAGCACCTGGGATCATTGAAAGCAACATCGAAAAACGAGACTGCCGATTACCAAAACAATTATCAATACACACCTGATGGTTGTTGGACAACAGATCGCGGAAGACGTTCCAAGCGTCTTCAGTGTAATTCACTATGTAGTAACCGACGGACCTGTGATTCAGTTTAATCCAATCCACCTTCTTCTCCAGAGTCAGCTCCACTGCAATCAGGTCAATTACTCACCGGGAAATGGTTCACGCAGCGCGCCGGGTCTGATTATTACCGCAAGAAAAATTCGCTAGGAACCAGTCGAACTTCACGCCGTCCATTCTGCTCGTTATGTACTTTACGGGAATGGTCCAGCTGCCGTCGCTGTGAACCAATACGATGATACGCTGATGGTACCTCGATTCATCGAGCGCTTTTCTTCCGGCCCTTAACACTGGATTCACGAAATCCGTGAAGCGAACCTAGTGTTAAGTCTAGACTAGTAGACTGAAAGACAATCGTTTCTTACTGGAATGAAAATGGAAATGGAACAGGCGAAATATTTGTTGACTATTTAACGATGACAATTGTCTCTCAGTATGTAAATACCAGGCTTTGTACGTACTCGAGGGTCTGCCGAAACTTCTTGCTCACCGCGAATCGTCGCTGCGAGAGTCGAAAAACCGAACCATCGCGATGAACGTTGATCAACGGGAATCCGGGGAAATTGGTCCATCGGCTCATGAAGTCGATGATGTTGATGTCGCTGCGGCTACTGTTTTGGACAGCCTCGAACAAGTCGCGCGACGCTGCGTTACGGAATCGATGTCTTAGCAAATAATCTCTGACCCCCTGAACGAACTTCGATTTGCCGATCGCGTCTTCCAGCATTCTGATCACGGCTGCCGCCTAATGAATCCAAGCATAGTTCTAATTCTGAAGACTGATTGTTTTGTATAATGTTATCAGGAATTACTGTATATTATTTTACTTCAAATTCTAAGGAATGTGTAACTGTGGCCTTAATATAGTAATAGTTGTTTTAAATGTTAATAAAATTGTACATTTAATTGTTGTACGTATTTGGGAACATTAAATTCGCTGTTTAGTTGTGCACGCCGCTGCCAGATGACGCCACCATTCTCTTTCTAAATTTTCCACTTGACTTCCCCGGTTGATATTATTAATGAAACGATCGTTAGGAGGAAGGAATGTTAATTGAAGACGAGAATGTATTTCAAAGTCTTATTTAACGATGCTTGTTTTGTAACACGGTTACAATTATTTTAATCTTGACCTAAAAAAGTCTAAGGGTGGATTTTTGAATTGATCACTCATGAATGAAATACTTACTATTCTCAGTCAACAATTTCCGAAAAGAGGACGAATCAATTGTGTATAATGCAATTGGTTAAGGGAACGAATACTATACTTTTTGATAAGAAATTCGATCAAACATCTCCTGGATCTCCTCAGGATCCTCGACCCGTTTCACGATGGGTCTGGCTCGGGTCTTGCTATCGTGCTTCATAGCTGCGTACTTCGTGTGCAACGGAAAGGAGTCTATCTAATGAAACAATAACATGAAGTGCGATATTTCCCAATGAAGTTTTATAGCAATTGACCTGGTTCCATTCGGGGAACACGAAGTCCACCGCCATGTGCTCCATATACGTCGCGAATCCCTCGTTTAGCCAAAGGTCGTTCCACCATTTCATGGTGACCAGATTGCCGAACCACATGTGCGCTAGCTCGTGAGCCACCGTGTAGCTGACGCTTCTCGTATTCCAGTAGGAACTCTCGTTGTCAGTGTGAAGCAGCTCCGTTTCCCGGAACGTGATCAGGCCCCAGTTCTCCATTGCGCCGGCGTTGAAATCGGGAATGCCAACTAAGTCTAATTACCAGGAAATGTCGTCTATCGTATTCAAGATTACTATAGGAGAATCATCTCTGCTTTAGTGAAAACATTGAATCTCGTAGATCAGTCAACGCACATCAGAAACACATGTGCGTATCTACGATTAATCCCTTAGAATTAAGATTAAATGAAGATTGGAAGATAACGGGAGATCTAATGACGGAGAATTCGTCTGTTAAGATATCTATGACAAAAGTTGCGATTAAAAACTCCGAGTTACCTAGCTTCGGCATGGGATAATCAACGTCGAAGACAGTTAAATAGTACTCCATCACTCTGATCGCCACGTCCAGCGCGAACTTCGTCTTGTTCTTGTACATCGGTCTCACGCAAACGCTCACCGGTATGCTAGACCCGTTCAGGATCGTCAGGCTCGATTCCACGCACTCGAAATCGCTGACGAGGAACGCGACGAGGTACGCGGACATCGGCGGAGACTGCTCGAAGAACGTGGCCGTCGACGATCCATCGTCCCCCATTGTTTCCGTCTTCTGCGGGACGAGGCTAGCTGAGAACGGCGCTTCGAATCTCGTGTCTCTCTTAACTTACGGTGACCGGCATGTTCGATAACGCGCGGTACAACGGCTTCTCTGTGTGAAGAAGACGAACGAGGAACGTGGACTTGAAGCTCGGCTCGTCGAAGCACGGGAACGCGTCCCTCGCGTGAAACGGCTCGAACTGAGTCACCGCTAATTTTCTGACAGACGTTCCAGCGAGCTCGCGAAATTATTAAACACTTCGACAAACAAAGATCGGCGATTGAATTACCTAACGGACCCTCCGGGCTCGGTATACTCGCTTAAATAGAACCCGGCGACTTTTCCCTTCAAACTTCCGGTGAAATTCATTCTGAGAGAATACTGCCCTGCAGGGATTACGCTGAACATCTTGATAACCAGCATCCCACGCTTCTCTATAGGTATCACGGATTTTAATGGGACTTCGTTTTGCGATTTCACGGAATGCACTTTTGTCGATAGGATTGTTAGGTTGCTCGAATGTAAGACGATGTGGCCTCGAGCCTGTGATGAATTTAAATATTTTCTCTTATTAATTTATTATAAGATACTGTTGACGTATTAAGGAATGGGATATTCATCGAGCTCGGTTCGTTTGATAACACGGTGGATTTCAAAGGATGAGTTCAAGAGGAATCCGAGTCACTAACGTTCAATACATCGACGTCGATGCGAATGGATCCGTGAAACTGGTCTTTCTGGAAGTCCGTCGAGATCGCGATCACGTAATTGGTGGGGACCACGTCCTCCGGCAGCCGTTTATCGATGTCCACGAACCCGTCGCGATATCGAGCCGAATTCATTTTAGACGAGTCATCGTCAGGCTCGCGGAATTCCATCGTACCGGCGAACGCTA